GCCTTTCTGGGTAGCAGCCTTTCCTGCTGTATTGTCTCCCCTATGTTGAGCTCTCTTGTGCCCAGGTTTGTTACAGTGCCAGCAAAGTCCCTCAAACGTCTCTGAAAGCTAACCATTTCTGGCCTTGAATCCAGATGACTGTACCAACCTCGGTACCTCTGTGCTGGACTTAACGTAGGATTCAAATTCGAGAGCTCTGGCCATTGCATCCTGCATGGTAGAGGGGTGTGCTTGCTTCACTTGTATCTTAAGTTGTGGACTGTCCAAGGCATCTACGAACTGATCCCTCAGCAACAACTTGAGGAGATCGGGTGGTGCAGTTGGGTAGGCCTTGTGTGCCATGCTCTCCAAGTCCTGTGCCAGCTCTTGCAGGCTCTCCCCTTTAGCACGGACTCTCGTCCTGAACCTGGCCCTGTAGACTTCTGACTGGTTTTGGGTTCCGTACCTGAGTTCCAGAGCCTCTACCAGTGTTGTATAGTTGTGTCTGTCGTCGAAACAAGAAGAACGAGAAGAGAAATTACAACAGTTGTTAGAGGAAAAAGAAAAGAAACAAGAAGAAAGAGAAATTAAACAAGAAGAGAGATTACAGCAGTTGTTGGAGGAAAAAGAAAAGAAACAAGAAGAGAGACAACAGCAGTTGCAAGAAAACCTGCAACAGTGGCAGCTCGAACAACAAAATAAACAAGAAGAGAGATTACAGTAGATGTTAGAGGGAAAAGAAAAGAAACAAGAAGAAAGATTACAGCAGTGGCAAAAAACCTACAACAATGGCAGCTCGAACAGCAAAATAAACAAGAGAGATTACAGCAGTTGTTAGAGGAGAAAGAAAATAAACAAGAAGAACGAGAAAAGAAACAAGAAGAGAGACTACAGCAGTGGCAACTGGAACAAGAAAGTAAACAAGAAGTACAAATGGAAAACATTAGTAAATTTAAAAGCGAATTAGATACGTTAAAGGACGATCTATTGTCTTTTACACAAGGAGGATACATTGACCATCAACTTAATCAGCCCAGACAATGGCAAGCCCCTTACAGAGCCCGCAGCTAAACCCTAATGCAGACATATTCAGTCCCGTTAGAAGTCACATCCCAGATATGAATGTCAGTAATAGGAGTGATCCAGTGCGAAGGAAGCCACAGGAATTCGATGGAAAGGCACCGTGGGAAGCATATAGAGCACAATTTGAGCTACTGGCAGAGATGAATGGATGGACAGAGGAACAGAAAGCTGTATATCTGGCAACGAGCTTGAAGGGACAACCACTGGAAATACTTGGACAGTTGACAGCAGCCTTTTCTCGTTCTTCTTGTTTCTTTTGCTGTTCTTGAATTGCTGCTATCAAGTCTGCTATGCTGTAGTTTGATTTGCCGCTTCTCGTTTCCATTTTTTTGTCCCACTCTCTGACACCAATTTGTTACGTCTCCGTTTGTTAATTAACTTTCCGTAACTTCGTTCCGACGAAACTTTAGCGACACAAGTCCTTACTTAATAAAACTGGTTTATTCTTTCTGAATATAACTTTACGATACACTTGATTTCAACATTCGCGCTAAAACAAACGCTATAACGAACTTCAACAATACTCTCTGACTGCAGATCAATTACTCACTACCTACACACATTGTCACGACACGCCGTGACCATCCTATATATACCAGACTACCCCCAATCTAGCAAATGCTAGAGCACTCCCGAAGGAACAGGATAGTTCTAGAAACGTGGCGTGACACTAGTCACGTGACCTCGCTGACGCAACAATACCTTTGTCATTATTTGTTGTGTTATAACAATGTGTTTTATCATTGGACGGGCTCTTTTGGATTATTTAGTAAAAATAATGTTAAGTCCAGTCTATGTAGTGATAACAAATTAAGTTATTCCTTCGATAACGTCTGGTATGGGCTACATTCACTTGCAGACCTAAATTCACAAACAACTTTTTATACAAAAATACTAAACTAATGTACCCCTGTCTTACTTATAAACTTATTTGCAGAATTTCCTCATTAACTGATCGATAACAAACATGTTAACTCAGTGAATTGAATGAGAATAGACGTAATAACTCTCACTATCTAACTCACTAACTTACACTGATTACTATTAACTCAATAATTCACTAACTCTGGCATTTATATTATTGTATATTATATTTTAATGTTTTGATTTGCTTGTTAGCTAAAGTGAGCTGTGGAACATTCATAATGTAACGATCCAGAGACCTACTGAAACATCTCAAACTAGACTTCGTTATGAAATTCGAGTGGATCCGTCAATTAGAAGCCAGTTGTGAATAGCGAAAAAGTATAGACAAGAGTTAAGACGATTGTAGCATTGCTTCCGTCGTTTCAAGAAGATCGTAGAGTAAATCAGCCAGTCTGTTATTTATCTTGGATACTTTGTTTGATTTATTTTATTTTATTTTAAGTACAGTCCTAGATTGTTAGAAAGATTAAAATGTCATTGTAACGTAGACCTACAACATGTTACAACTCTTTCTAAGTGTTCAAGTTCGTAGAAACGTTAAATGAGGAAATAAACTAATTTGTGATTGCTATGGGTGAACTGAATTTGGAGTTACTTTCACCCGGAAAAAAAAAAAAACGCGAACGAGAGAATATTACAATAATATCATTCTTATCTGCTTACCATACAAAATTTGTAGATGATTATATCATCATCATTAGGTAATGACACGCTCCCTCTTGCAAACAAATATTCAAACTTAAAACAGTAATTATGACACAACTACTAAGACTGTTTGCTGTTATCCCATGTTTAAACTACTGATCAGACACTCAAAGCACCCACCATCCACGCTAAATGGTTAACTGCCACTCTTATAACACACTCACAGCTTTAAGTGTAAGGACTATTTTGAGATATCGGACAAATTCGAACTTGACTCGCCAGCATCGAAATCTAGAGCTCTACCACAACATCAGTCCATGCTCATTTACTCTTGTCTAACGACTCATTTGTGTGTTTGGTTAATCTTTATAATAGAATTAGATTTTTATTTTTTGCTCTCAAATAATTTTTTTATTACCATAATTTGTATAGCATTTATTATTTTTCACTTATTTATTTTTTATCAGACTGGGTGTTATCTTGTGGTTCGCACGCACGGCCTTCAAATCTAAATTGCTTCAAAACGTATTTCACACTTTGGGTTTTATTTTAGTTTGTTCTGAATTTCGCGCAAAGCTACATGAGAGCTATCTGCGCTAGTCGTTCCTAATTTAGCAGTGAAAGACTAGAGGGAAGGCAGCTAGTAATCAAAACCACTTCAGCTCACTTTGTGAGGCAAAAAATAATAACAAAGAAGTATTAACTAAGATCTCAGTCTCTAGAAGGAGACGGGCAATGTCCAAGGCAATTCTATGGAGAGACAACTATCAATTCCATGCTAGAGTTTGTACTGTTGAGGCTTGGCTTTTCTTTGCACTGCACATGTGATGCAATGCTGGCACCAGCACTCATGGTTCAAGCTTGGCAAGTAGAATCATTGTTGGACATTGGTGAGAGAGTGATTAACACCCTGATGACCTCCAATCTTTACAGTTTGCAGAATTTGGAAGTTGACCCCACAGATGCAGAGAATCATGAGTTGTACAGACCGACTCCCACATCAAGGTGTGAAATGGTAGTGGTATAACACAGGTCTCTGGTCGTTAGTTAATTTCCCGTATAATTTTTTTCCGATGAAACTTTAGCGACACAAGTCCTTTCTTAAATAAAACTAGTTTATTCTTTCTGAATACAACTTTGCAATACACTTAATTTCCACAGTCACGCTATAACAAACGCTATAATTCATTACGAACGACTCACGCGCTTGACTCAACTGTCCGTATGTATCTCTGTCTGCAATTCAATTACATTCCATTGTTGCCGTCACTTCTTACCTGTCTTATATACATGAATACCGCATATCTAGTAAACACTC